ACAGAACCCACGAAGCTTTGGCACATGTGTGTGAAGCAACTGCCTCCACGCAGTAACTGGAGGGACAGCCCGTGATGGCAAACGCCAGAAAAGCCTGCATAATCCCCAGGGCTGTAACTATTCTGTGGCCTAGCTAGCCGGCCGACAGCCCCCAGAGGTGCTACCAGGTGGGGGTGGGGGGTGGGGAGTGGGGGGGGTGAGGATTGGGGGGAACCGGCGCCTGGGGCCCGCAACCTTGGGTCTGCTAACTTGAGCTGCCTCGGCGGCTGGGATGGGGAACCACAGAGATGAGCGGCTTCCCGGGTTCCTAGAGAGGAGGGGAAAACGGTGTATGCGCTTCCGGCTGAGCCGGTGCGGCTCTTTCCCAAGAGAAGGTCGCTGGTTCCCACGCTTTCTCTGCGCCCCAAGTACACAGTCCAGCACCTGCTCTTGTCTGCCCGGTGATCACGTCAACCCCGTGTCTGGTTCCGTGAGCCTGATCTCTCACAGCAGGTGTCTGCCTTCACCCTGCCTCCGTGCGTCCTGGATCCCCCAGCAGGACCCTCCACTCAGCTTCTCCACGTCTTTCACCAGAGACAGAGGGGCAGTTCCATGGGCACAGAGTCCCCTTCACACTGGATCATTCTCCCTCTTTCTGATATCTTGCCTGATCAGAAAGCTGCTTGTCCCTTGAAGGCAATGTGCAGCATCACCTCCCCCTTTCCTAACAGGCCACTACTGACCTGCTTCTTGTCACTTTGGATTAGTTTTCCTTTTCTAAGATTTTATATAAATGTTATCACATTATATGTACTCTTCTCTTTGGTCTGGTGTCTCACTCAGCATAATTATTTTGAGATTCACCCATGTTGCATACGTCAATTTATTCACCCATGTTGCAATACATTCATTTATTTTTATTTTTATTTTTTGTTGAGTAGTATTCTCCTATGGCTATACCACAATTTGTCTACTCTTCTCCTGATGGCCACTTGGGTCGTTTTCAGTTTCTTGTTTTTACAAATAAAACTACCATGAACATTTGTGTCCAAGTCTGTAAGTGTGTATGCTTTTATTTATCTTGGTAAATACCAGGAGTGGAATGGCTAGGTCATAAGGTAGGCGTGTATATTTAATGTTAAGAATCTTCAAAACTGTTCTACGAGGTCGTGCCATTTTAAAAACATTCCCACCAGCATTGTGTGAGTTCTTCTAATATGACTTTGCCGACTCTCAATATTGTTAGTCCTTTTAATTTTAACTATTCTAATAAGTGTGTAATACTATCTTATTTAGGTTTTAATTTGTATTTCCATGTTGTCTAATGGTGTGAGTATACTTTTCATGTACTTACTTGCCTTTCATTATGTCGTCTTTGGTAAAATATCTGTTCATATTTTCTGCCTATGTTTTAATTGGGTTTTCTTTTTATTGATCTTTGGGAGGTCTTTTTAATCGATGTGATTTCCAAATATTCTCTCCCAGCTTGTAGTTTCTCTTTTCATACTCTTAACAGTATTTTTGGAAGAATAGAAGATTTTAATACCAATGAGGTCCAATTTATTCAGTTTGTTCTTGTATAGATTATGCCTTTGGTGTCACATTTAAGAAATTTTTGCCTTACCCAAGTTTACAAAGGCTTTTTTCTATATTTTCTTTTGGAATTTTTATAGTTTTAGATTTTACATTTATATCTGTCATCTGTTTTCAGTTAAATTTTGTAAAGGGTGTGAGGTATGGATCTGAATCCCTCCCTCCTCCTCTCCCTCCCTTCCTTTTAAAATGGGTAACATACTGTAGCACCACTTTTTGAAAACATGATTCCTTCTCCACTGAATTCCCTTTGCACCACTGTCGCAAATCAGTTGTCCATATTTGTGTGGTGGGCCTGTTCTAGAGTCTGTATTGCTGCATTGATCTATTTATCTACCTTGATGCCAGTAACACAATTCCTAATTACTGTAGTATTTCTAAGCATTGGAGTCATATAGTATCAGACATCCTACTTTGTGTTTTGCCAAAGTGGTTTTGACCATTCTAGGTCCTTGCATTTCTCTGTGAATTTTAGGATCAAATTGCTGATTTCTACAAAACATACAGGGGTTTTGTGTGAGATTATATTGACTATAGATCAATTTTGGAATAATTGACATTGTAACTATAGAGTCTTTTGACTCATGAACATTGTAAATGTCTCCATTTAGATATTTAATTCCTCTTAGCAGTGTTTTCAGATTTTTACTTTATAGGTCTTTCACACCTTTTCTCAGATTTATGTCTAAATATTTTGTACTTTAGATGCTATTATAAATAGTAAATTTCTGATTTTCATTGATGGTATATAGAAATATAATCGATTTTTGTATTTTCACTTTGTAGACTGCAACCTTGTACAACTCATTAGTTCTAGTAACATTTTATAGATTCCATAGGATTTTGTAACATTGAGAATCATGTTCACAAATAATTATTTTAGTTCTTCCTTTCCAATTCTGGATGCATAGTCTTTCTTTTCCTGCCTTATTGCACTGGTTAGTGGCTAGGGATAGTGTGTTTTTAGGGAGAGCCAGTCTCTCCAACATTCCAGACTTTAATTTTGCTGATACGGGAGGACATTCCTTAACAGCTGCAAAGCCTAAAGTTTCCCATCTCTTCTGATTCTCCTTGCCATGTAGCTGCTTCTATGTCAGCACTACCTGTACTATCCCTCTGGTGAGGCTCTTCTGGGGAAGCATGCATGGGCTTCTTGTAGCATACTCCCAATTTTCTTCTCTGACCTCCCAGGATTCGAGTCATCCTCCCAATCTGGGGCTTTTATTTGGGCCTACCAAAGTTTTCTGATTTCTTCTCCCTGCACCATAATACCAAATAGAGGAATTGCATGTCCCTTTCAGGTTCTAATTGTAATAGCTGGCTGATATTCTTTAGAGTTTGTGGTATATATGTGTGTATGCATATGTGCATCCATATATGTGTGTCCGTCTCTCTAGATGTTTGACAGGTTTAGAGAAATATATGCAAATATAAGTCCTTATGCTATTGTTTCTGGAAATCTAATTCTTCTATTTAAAATGACTGCTTTGCATGAACTTTACAATAAAAAATATAGGTTTTATAAAGTGGATTGTTTCTGTGGTAGCTAAAACTTCTGGGTTAGGCAGCTTCCACATAGGTCCCCCGTGATTCTCATCCTGGCATTCATGCCTTTGTGCATCTCACCCAACATTGAATCATGACTGGCCTGTGAGGAGAGTATATTGGGGTAATGATGCTGCATAGCTTCCAAAGCTAGATCATAAATGACACTGCAGCTAGCCTTGGCTCCTTGGATTGCTTACCTTGGTTGGAAGCCCATTGCCGTGTTGTGAGGATGCTCAGCCATGTGAAGATAGCCATGTGGAAAGGGACCGTGGAAAGGTTATTGGTGTCACACCAATAACCCGCAACAACTTGCTGGCTATGTGCGTAAGCTAACTTGGAAGCAGATCCTCTAGCTTCGGGCAAGCTTTCAGCTGGGTGCAGTCCCAGGTGACACCTGATGGAAAGTCACGAAAGGTCCTAAGTCAGTACCATCCAGCCAAGCCACTCCTGAATTCCTGATTCACAGAAACTTTGAGAGAGAACATGTATTGTTTACAGCCACAAAGTTGTGGGGTGATTTGTTATGCAGCCATAGACACTCAACATACTCTTCACGATAGGACTTCTTTATTACGTCTCGTTCCTGTGAAAGGAGCAACACACTCCTATAATAGAGCCAGATATCCAGATATCCAGGGTCATTCTATTTTCTAGGCCAATTTCCCTTCATAACTTTGGAGCGCTGGGTGAGTAAGAGCCATAGATCTGAAACTGTGTTCAGCAATCGTATCAGAGTGGTCAAAAGTAAAAGTCTGTACATGTTGGCAACCACCCTGCCAAGAAGTGGTCGCTGCAGTAAGGCTACTGTTGACCCACTGTCTTTCAGAAGCATGGTCACTGCAGTGAGGCACTTGCTATTTGGCTGTTGTCTAGGGGGCGGGACTATCACTGATTTGCTGACTATCGAGGGCATTTGTCGTTGATGGCTCACATTCAGAAACTTAGAGTTGCCAATGATTTGCTAACTTTCAGAAACATAGTTACTGGGGGTCACCAAAGTGAGGCTGTCACTTGCGGGTTTTCATAGCATGCATATTGGCCAGAAGTTATGTCAATTAAGGGCAGTTACTTGTTTGTAACTTGGAGACTTCGGTCAAAGAACAGTCTTTTCCTTTCTTGAATATAGAAAATCAAGTACTTTTAATGTTTTTTTTTTTTTCCATTAAAACTGCAGGAGACTGTAAGAGGTTATCCAGATCTTATTTGTGGAGATATGATTTTTTTTCAGCCAGCGTTGACATTTAAGTTATTTAAGTGCCAGTGAACAGGCTAAAGAAAAAAAAAAGTCAAAATTACAGAATTTTTGTAATTTATTGTAAAAAGCTAAACACAGGACATTTAGGGCGTCTTGCCAAAGTCAATACAGGGCGAAACCATTTACTACAGGGCATGTCCTGTATATACAAGATGCATGGCAACCTTAGTCACCATTATTTTGGTTGTTAAATGAATTTGCCCCCAAAAGCCCTCCACACGTCCAGGTCCTGGGAAGAAGAGAGCTTTAAAAAGGCAGGTGGAAACCATGGTTTTGCCAAGGGCTGCCCAGCTTAGGACTCAAGCAGGATCTTTAGCTTGGGCATCTAAGAGATGACACAACAGGGGCCATTCTCCCCACACCTGCACAGCCCAGGTGACCCACGAAGTAAAGGCGGCGGACAGCTGGGCTGCAGTCGGTTAACTGGGGCCTCACCCGGGCCCAGAGGCTGAGGTCTGAGCAGAGCGAAGCTGCATCTGTGCCATGACCCCCACGTCCCGAGTCGGTTCCAACCGCCAGGCATTCTGCGAGCGCCAGTGAGGACGCAGGCAGCAGCCCGCCCACGACCGCGCCCCTTCCGCACGGCGGGCCCAGTCACGTGGGGCCGGGCCGCGGGGACCACCGAGATGCGGCCTCCGGGCGGCCTAGAGGGGCGCTGGGCGCGCGCGCTCACTTCCGCGTCAGCTTCTAGCTGCCAGACTTTCGGGGTTCGGAGAGGAAGAGTGTGGGTTTCAGCGAGTTCTACGTGTCAGGTCCGCCCAGTGCCTGCCTCCTCGTTTTCCCTGGCGTCTCGTCAGCACCCCCTCCCCTGAACTCGGTCCCAGTGGTGGCTCGCCCCTCTCTGACCCGGAGCTCCGGCATCTGGGCCTCTCAGAAGCCGCCCGAGGTGGCTGCACGACCTTCTAGAGCTTTCGTCCAGCCCCCTGCCCACCGAGGCCTGACCCTCTTTTCTACCCTAAAGAATGTGGCCTAACAGCCGCCCGTTCCGGTACTGACGTTTCTGTGTTTGCGGTCTCCCGCTTCCCTTGGTGGAGTTCCCCGAGTGGTCTGCGGTCAGCATCACCCACTGGAATGCTGAGTATTTTACTCTTAATCCTCATCCAGCCACCCCGGTCCCTCCACTCCATAGTCACCTTCTTTGTCATGGTCCCTATAAGGTCTTTTAGGTTTTTAGGTTCGTTCAGACCCATCACTGTA